GCCGATTTAGAGCTTCTCGCCAGCCGGATGCGGCGTTTCCCACGCACCGGGATCCCCTGCCACAACCTTTGGTGTGTGCGGTTTCGAGCCGGTCGCCACACCAAACGGTGTCCGGGTCAAGTAGCGGTGGTACATCTTGAGGACCACAATCCCACCATCAAGCACTGGCGGCGTGCCCTCGAAGAGCTCTGGTGGCGTCGCTGGAGCTCGTGGATCGCGTACCACAGGTCGTAGCGCCGCGAGGTAGGCGTCCCGCATAGTTGCCCGCCGCAGCCCCAGGGGAGTGCGCGGCTGCATTGCCATGTGCACGAAAACTTCGGGTGTAGGGCTCTTCAGGGTTTCAGGGTTTTTGTCGGCCCTCAAACCTAAACCCTAAACCCAAAGTTGCGTTTCGTGTTTACCGCTTCCTGCGTAAGGTTTCGGGTGTTGACGGTTTGCTGCAAGTGTTCTTTTGGGGTTTGCGGTTCAGGGTTTAGGGTTTATACCACTTCAGACTGATTGTGCGGCGAGGGCTTGGGGTTGCCTAAACCCTGGATGCAGTCTGTTGGGACTGAGCCGGTAGTATCCTGGCAATAGATCTGGCTAACAAAGCGGAAGGAAATTTCATACAGGGATAGGGGAGGAGCCGTAATGATTAGAATAAGTGATGTCTTGGGGTATGCTACTCTTACATATAGTCACTGCCATCCTTTTCTTCCATTCCGGAACGGGGCCTGGAGATACTCGTGCTCCAGGCAGGTCTACTTCTGGCGCCGACACCAAGATCCTGCGACCGCAGGCCTTTTTTAGGCTGTCGGGCAGAAGGACAAAAGACAAGATTGTAATTGAAGCCGCCCTTTTTTACCCCTTCCTCCCCGGAGAAATCAATCACCCCTGATATTTCTTCCGGATGTGGGGAGTCCAAACCTGGCCTGGCGGCCAGCTATAAAATGGTATCTAAAGAAAAGGCGATGCAATGCCCAGTTCAAAAACCTTGGCCCTAGGTGCCCAACGCTTCTACACGAACGTTCCGAGTGCCTCCGGTCCATGCCAAAAAACCCTCTGTTCGACGTGCAGGTTCAGAACACATTTTTCGGCTCAGGTTCTGAGTGCAAAGTGCAGGTTGTTGTGAGTGAGCTGCCCTCATGAAGCCCATCCTAAAACTCGCCAGGTCGTGTGTTGGCAGTGGGCAGCAAATATGCTGGTAATTATGAGCATAGTGTCCTCGTCTAGTCTCAATGACCCAAAAAAACCTTCTGATACCCAGTCTTATGATTAAGGCCCTGCCTACTACAAACCCTTCACCCCGACCTATTTGTTGTTCAAAGTCCCAAATCTGAGCCTGCAGCCGCTACCACAGGACCCCCAATAATTCCAAAGTAGGTAGAGAGTTTGGGTGTAGGGCGGTTTAGCTTAACGTGGTTTGGGGTTTAGGGTCTGAGGTACTATCTTCACGAGTTTCGGGCACAAAGCGGGTGTCACCTGTATACTTGGCGATCAAACGAGATCAATGGGGTGGAACTCCCCGAGGAGGAAGGGTTGAGGCGAGAGAAGGTAGGCGCGCAGGGGGCGGAACCTCTTGTTCCTACCCGCTGGCGTGAGACATAAAGGGTCCAAAGCGGCTCAAGCGATCGAACTATAGGAATGACAATACAACTACATCCTAACCAGAAAGGACCATCGAAGATGATACATCCTAACTAGACATGCGTATCTGAAAACAGTAGGTCCAAAGAAAACAAGAAAACTTTGAAAACATTGCTAAACCTACATCATGCAGAGTAAGGGTTCGGGCTTTAGGGTTGAGGGTTTAGGGTTCTAAGGCGGTTACTTGGATCAGAATCCTTTGGATCCTCTAGAGACACTCGCGCCTTCCGCATGCATTGTGTATTGGAGGAGAGAAGACGCAAGAGGCATCGCGATGCCACCGAGACGAGAGAACGATTATACAAGTTTCTGTGCAGGGTGTACGGTTGAGTGCTTAGGTTTTAGGCGTGAGGATCTGGGTTGTCTGGTTTCGGGCTGAGGTTTGGGGCTTCAGACACTGATTCCTTTAAACTCTCCAGCACTGGACCTCAGAACCTGTGAACCAGTGCAAGCTGTAGAGATGAAGAGGGTACTGCGGTGTAGCGTTATTAGGTCCAGGGATCAAAGCATCAGAGATTTCATAGATTGGGTTTCAGGGTAGTGAAAAAACTCCTCGCGTCTCAGAGGCGGATTGCTGATTTGCCCCCGGGTTCTGTCCGCATAAGGGAGGCCGCGCCATGCGGGGGCGGCCACCGCGAATTCAACTACGTAGGGGCTCCCAGGCACCCCGAAACTCTAAACCTTTAGGGCTTAGGGTTTAGGGTTTAGGGTCTAGGCTCCAATATCTACACCCTATGCCTTCACCCTTCAAACTCCCGAGTAAAAAAAAACAACCTGGGCCTCGAAACTCAAGAGAACATCAATGTAGGAACCTGATTGCAAAACCCTGGGCCTGTAACCCCAAAATACTAGGATTCATATCAGGAACCCTAATAAAGGCCCAAGATTTCTTCATCAGGTTCCTACATCACCACCTTGAAACCAACTCTTAGCCCCTCGACGAAAAACCGCAAACTTCGAGAGCCCCCCAAGTTCTACCATGAATCATTGAAGGGATCCTCATTGCGGAGCTCTGTAGAATAAGTAGCATTCCTTCATCATGTCTGGCGTTTTAACAAGCCCCGAAGATTTCCCAGAGAGCCCAATACCCCTTAATTAAGGAATATGGCGTAAATTATGTAGGGCTTCATATTATGATTTAAGCCATAGTCCTTAATTAAGGGTTATTGGGCTCTCTGGGTTCCAGAACTCGTCAACCTCCGCAGCAAAAAAACATGCTAAACCCGGCACCGAGGACCGGGGAGTTTGGGAGTCAAGAACTCCCTGAAGCCTAAGCCCTACCCATAAGCCCCATAGTAGTTCCTGTTTGGGATTACCTGGTAGGATTCTAACTATGGACCCCAAAAAGGAACTACTTTGGGGCCTATGGCCTATGGGTATACCGTTACCGTCACCCTAAACCCAGCATACCTCGGGCTACGAGTTCGGGGTTTAGGGTTTAACGCAACACCTTCAAAGTACTTGCAGAACCGCTGATAGAACTGTTGAGCGTGCCTTGGGGTGCTTGCAGTAGTACAAGCCTTTCGCCATAAACCTAAGCCCTGCAACTGGCTACTACTGGTAAGACCCTCACAAAAACCCACACAGCACAACACAAAACTAAACAGCAAATTACCCAAAACCCGAAACCCTGAAGCCCTAAGGCCCCCCGGGGGTGTCTTGAAAGGCTCTTCGCCTTTTCTTTCAGGAGCACCCAGAACTGCGGCTCTCCAGGATCAGAGAAAGCTAAGAGGCCGAGGCCTCGGCTGCTTCGAGCTTTCAAAGTGTGGGGTACCTAGAGAGCCCAAGGGGCCCCTTAATTAAGGAATACCTAGGGTTCCTTTAAGGGATCTATAAGGGATCTATAGGGTCTAGGGTTTAAGGGATTCTAATACCCCTTAATTAAGGAATATGGCTTAAATCATAATATGAACCCCTATATAATTTAAGCCATAATCCTTAATTAAGGGGTATTGGGCTCCCTAGGTATTCCTTTAAAGGGATCTATAGGGTACTCTCGGGTCTTATAGGGTTTTACGGCTTAGGTATTCCTTTGAAGGGATCTATAGGGTACTCAAAGCATTTCAAAGTTTAGGGTATTCCTTAGAAGGGGCCCCCCACCCTGTAAAAGTGGTATAACAGGAATAGGAATATAGTGCGGCCCTAATATGATCCTTATAGTCACTATTACAGGGTGGGGGCAGCTTCCAAGGTATTCCTTTAAGGGGATCTACAGGTCACTCTAGGACATTATTGGGGGTTGAGGGTTAGGGTTTGGGGTATTCTTTTAAAGGGATCTGTAGGGTACTCTAGGGCATCATTGAGGGTTTAGGGTAAGGGTTTAGGGTTTTGGCCGAGAACGGTTCAAAGCTTTCTGGACCAGAGAGTTTAGGGTCGACCTCGCTGGGTAGGTCGAGGAGTCGAGATCAGGTCAGGTTTAGGGCTTACGGTTTGACTGAACTCCTGGGCTTGAGGGTGGATGACTTGGGATTCTGGCGATTGGGTTGGGATTTGGGTCTCCTCGAAGTACATCCTTTTCAGCGAGTTGAGAAAGCTTTCTTGACTTCAGAACAATGTATAACAACTCAGAAAGCACTCTTTGCCAGTATTCCACTAACGATCCCCAGACATCCATTGACCTACTTGCACAACCATTTTGAACCATGTACCGCTCAGAACCCTACAATCGCCAAGTAACAAGCTAGATGAATGAAAAAGCAGTGAAGCCACGACCCCGAACAAAGACGCCCAAGACTGCTTCAAAGCTATGCTTAGAGGCCCAGGGGACTGGGGAAGTAGGATATAAGTAGGGCTACAAGGGACCCTAATTTTGACAACCACCCACTTTAAAAAAGTCATAACGACAGCAGTGATGACAACGATGAATGTTGATTGCAGATTGAACGATAACTAGCCCTATAGTCCGTGTAGACACAGTCCCTATATCATAGAGACCCTTAGGGGGGGTAAGGGAGAGGCGGGTAGGGGGCCTTAATACCTAAAAATAAGAACCGGACCTAATAAGGCCTAGTTAAGGAAGTATAGTCCCCTCCCGCCCTCCCCCGTACCCCCTAAGATTCCCCATGCCCTGTTAGAACCTTACCCCCTCAATACCCCTACACCCTCACCCAGACCACTTGCTACCCTCCCCAAGTGATACGACAGGCCATAATCCCGGAATCCCCTAATCCCCAAACCCTAAACCCCAAACCATACACCCTGAAACCCTAAACCCCTAAATCCTAAATACCTAAGCCCCAAAACCCCAAAACTCCTAAACCCCTAAATCCCTAAACCCCGGAATCCCTGAAACCCTTAGCCCCTGAACCCCTAAAGCTCCGAACCAAAAATCCATGTCCGTCGCGCGGCGCTCCCCACCGGGGCAACGAATTTGCTCAGAGGCCGCAGCTCGACATTCGCCGGAGTCGAGACCTGGGGAGACCGGGGTTTAGGCGTTGGGAGGTTTATGGGTTTATTTCGGGTTTAGGGGTTTTGGGGGTTTGGGGGTTTAGGGGTTTAGGGGTTTGGGGGTTTAGGGGTTTAGGGGTTTAGGGGTTTGGGGGTTCCGGGTTTAGGGCTTCGGGGTTTAGGGGTTTACGGCTTTGGGGGGGTTTAGGGGTTTAGAGGTTTAGGGGTTTGGGGTTTTAGGGTTTTAGGGGTTCGTTCTGAGCACCTTGTTGATTCCTAAACCCTAACCCTTGAACCCTTTTCAGCCATGTTCTCTTCTGCTTCTGCCCAGAGATCCCAATACCCCTTAATTAAGGAATATACCTTAACAACCCTAATATTAAGGCCCCTATAATTTACGATGTCTTCCTTAATTGAGGAATATACCTTAGAAACCATAATATTAAGGCCCCTATAAATTTACGATGTCTTCCTTAATTGAGGAATATACCTTAACAACCATAATATTAAGGCCCCTATAAATTTACGATGTCTTCCTTAATTGAGGAATATACCTTAGAAACCATAATATTAAGGCCCCTATAAATTTACGATGTCTTCCTTAATTGAGGAATATACCTTAAAAACCATAATATTAAGGCCCCTATAAATTTACGATGTCTTCCATAATTGAGGAATATACCTTAAAAACCATAATATTAAGGCCCCTATAATTTACGATGTCTTCCTTAATTGCGGAATATACCTTAAAAACCATAATAGAGGAATATACCTTAAAAAACATAATATTAAGGCCCCTATAAATTTACGATGTCTTCCTTAATTGAGGAATATACCTTAAAAACCATAATATTAAGGCCCCTATAAATTTACGATGTCTTCCATAATTGAGGAATATACCTTAGAAACCATAATATTAAGGCCCCTATAAATTTACGATGTCTTCCTTAATTGCGGAATATACCTTAAAAACCATAATAGAGGAATATACCTTAAAAAACATAATATTAAGGCCCCTATAATTTACGATGTCTTCCTTAATTAAGGGGGAATGGGATCTCTGAGTGGCTCGTGAGTTGGATTTGAAGCTTCCGGCCTGGGGGGCTCGGTCTTAGTTGCTGAATTCATAAGCCCCCAACAGTATACGCTTTTGGCTTTATAGTGTGTTAAATCATCGCAAAAAGTGTAGTATACACTTTTAGTTTTATAGTGGTCAATATTATCCCAAAAGGTACAAAGTGTATCCACTCAGCTACTACGGGTTGGAAGAAGGCTTGCCCCGTCCGTTTGCAAGACTTCGGGTACAGGGACTTAAACCCTCAACAACGGTTTGAGGAGTGTGTTCAAAAGGTTTCGAGGTTTAGGGGCTTAATTCGCCGAGGACACAGGCCCAGGCGTCTTGAGGGTTACCTCAGGTACTCTCCACGTTTGCCACCCCCTTGTCCCGCATCCCTTCATTTTACCTGATTTGTCGGCCTCCCCCCCCCCCTCCCAGGGCCCCCCCTGCATACAGACCAAGAACGGCTTGTCACACGGTCCTGAACAGTCCACCCCCCCTCCCTCCCCCTCCCTCTCCCCCCTCCCTCCTCCCCCTTCCCCCCCCTCACCCCCCCCTCCCCTTACCCCCGTCCCCCAGGCGGGAAGATGGCGTTTCCGCACTTGACTTGGATATCAACAACCGTGTAAAGGTTGGGGTTGAGAGGCCCCCCTCGCATGTATACAACATCGACTGCCCCCTCGCTCTGCCGCTAAAGAGCCGAGGCGGGCGGCGTAGCGTGAAAATTAAAACCTAAACTACGGATATAGGATTTTTTCGGAGGTTTCGGTCAACAGCTTTGTCTCCATCTGCTTAGCGCTTCGGGGTCGAGTTACTTGCAGGAGTGTGTAGGGTGGTACGGTTTAGGGTTTAGCGGTTTAGGCTTTAGGGTTTAGGGTTAGGCCCTGACTCTAAAACCCGCTTCAGCTGGATTGCCGGGAAAGCCGACGATGAGATCCCCGCAAGGATGGCTGAGCACAAAAGTGCTGAGGCCACTCTGGAGTTAGTTGGCTGCTGTGCTTTGACTACGCATTGGTACCACAGCAGAAAAGCTTCTCCTAAACCCAAAACCCAAAACCTGAACCCTAATCGTCAGGGAGTTAGTCGGAAGATCTCCTAAACCCTAAACCCAAAACCCCACCCGTCATCCCTGCAAGATTTGATGTCTAGGCGTTTTCAAGCAGGTTCTGGGCCGGTCCTAATCTCGGTGCGAACGGTAGGTACGGCCCCTACAGTAAGAGTCTTTAGTAGGGCTACTATTAAGGTCCTACTATACCTATATTATGAATATCAGTCAACTATCACTGAGTGGGGGCCGTACCTAATGCGAACGTGTTAAAAGCCCTAAAGCCTTACACCTAGACTACTGAAGCCAACCCTCAGCCCCAAACCCCAACAACTAAAGCCCATCCCCCAAACCTTCTACTGCCCTGTAATGTCTGATAGATCCCTCTACTAAAAGGGACCCTACACAGCCCCAAAACCCAAAATCGAAAACGCAAAAAACACCGACTGCCGAGGCTGCGGCTGCATCTCACCGTCGCAGGGCTCGGGCGTGAACTCGAAGTAGAAGTTGTCGAACCTCGGGGCTTCTAGTTCTAGCATAGGGGCCTCAGTGGTTAGAATAGGGTTTCGAGTTCCTTTATACAGTATATTAATAATGAAGAGCCCTAAGGAACCATGTTGGTAATCATTTAGGGTTGATCATAGTCGGGGTTCAGGGTTCAGGCTTTAGGGTTCCTCCGGGCTTCTAGGGTCTAGGCTTGCTTTTAGCGAAGGGCCCCAGGATTCAAGGTAGAACCCTTCTAGGCTGCTGAACCCTAAACCCTCCCTAAACACCCTAAACGCTAAACCCTCCTTAACACCCCTGAACCCTAAACCCTCCCAAAACACAAAAAGCATAAACCCTAAATGCAGATGCCGTGTAGGGCTGCTGTTGGAGATCTTTCAGGGCGATACTGTGTTCCAGGCTTGTTGTGGCTTCGGTGCGCCTGATGTTTGTAGCCCGAAGAAATCAGTTAATTATTGCGAAGTATGCTGGATTTCGCCAAGGGAGAGAGAGAGAGAGAGAGAGAGAGAGAGAGAGAGGGAGGGAGGGGGGTCCCTCGATGAATGCTGGGATCGCCGACTTTGGAGGCACCGTGGCGAAGTCGAAGTGGTTGTACACCTGAGCCAGTCAGAAAGGTTGCATGTACATATGCATGTATGCATGCATGTATGTATACACAACCGTCAACAATCAAGAACCTTAGGGAATATGCAAATGGTTCGGCATGTATCTATGCGTGAGCCGCTCCAGGGAGACACGACTGGTGAAGGAGTGCTTTGCATGGTTGCCTTGGCTCGCTTGCTTTTGGAAACCGGCCTTCTTGTAGCTGGATCAGACCCGTCTAAGCCCTTAGTAGCATGCATACGTCGTACGTATATTCATTCATGCATACATGCGGCAAATACATACATCAGTACATCCAGCAAACGCACACATGCATGCTTGCATACATACACACATACCTATATACCTACATACCTATATACCCATATACCGTCATAACTGCGTAGATGTATGAACGTAACCATGTATCCAAGCTTCCATGTATGTACCTGTGCAGTCGTGCACGTACGTATGTATGTATGTATGTATGTATGTATGGCTGTAGGTAGGTAGGTAGGCAGGTAGGTAGGTAGGTAGGTAGGTAGGTAGTACGTAGGTGGGCATGTATGCATGTAGGATTGTATGTAGACAGATATGAGTAGGTGCATGCATTACATGCATGTAGTTATGCACGGTATGTATGTACGCATGTCACGTATGCATGTATGCATGTATGCGTATTTGCACGCGCGCATCTCTGCACGTACGCCTGCACATATGTACGCACGTATGTTTGTACCTATGTACGTATGTATGTACGCATGTATGTGCACGTATACACATATGTATGCATGTACGTATGTAAGTATGTATGTGCGCATGCATGTGTGCAGATGTACATCTCTTCACACACGTACACACACACACACATATGTACAGTTGTACGCACGTGTGCTTGTCGTATTTGTACATAGTTGCTAGAATTGCTAGCAGACCCCGTAATTGAATCCTCATTCTGAGCGCTTGCCGTCCAAAGCACGCCGAATGTGTTTCTCTGCCCCGGGTGCATCGGGCACCACATGCCGTTGTCGACCTTTGGGCAGATGTCCACGACGACCTCGGATGGCTCTCGAAGAGCAAGGCTCGTCGTGCTTCATGCAGGGGTGTCTAGAATTGAACCATTTTGAAGCGGGGGTCGTAAAGGTTGGGATCCAACTATTTAAGAAGGGGTAGAAGTAGGGACGAGCTGCAAGACATGTTGGCTCTGTTACTTTGCATTCTATCTAATTTGGCACTTCAGGCTTACTACGAAAACCGATACCCCAAAGAGGAACAACCCCACTACCTTCTTCAGCTTACATTCGTCAGCGGTCCACCAATCACCCCGGCTGACTTAGGCCTTACTTTTTGGGTGCCCAGTCTTCTGAAACTCCCATGGGACCCGGCGTCCTCTGGGTAACACTTCGTGGTGCGTGGGTCGCTCTTGGACGTCTTATGACTCGTCTTCTAACATCTGCTTTGATGGTGGCATGCGAAACTGGATCCGGAACCATCAGTGTGATCAACAGTGTCAAGAAGCAGGACTAACTCGGTCTTAAACACCTTCACCTTAAAGGCTAAACCCGGAACCCGAAAAAAGACTAGGCTTTTGAGTGCTGTCGGGGCTTGATGCAACAGCTGTGTCAAAGAATACATTTACGGAGGAGCTTAAGATCAGAAGTCGAAGCCTACCAGACCGTAGGAATAAGGTTAACGTATGTTCGCTGCATGTTTACAGTTTACGGTCTTGGGGTTGGAAGTTAGATCCGTTGCCGATACCCGGAACCACGAACATCCTCGAGACAACCGTGCACAAGCCCAACTCCAAAACGGTCTCGAACGAAGCGCACCGTGGAGATGCATTATGTAGGGCTGGCACCTTACGTCATGCTATCATATTAGATTAAGAGGCCAAATGCAGCCCTCTAGAAATCTTTCTCGGGCAAAGCTAAATAATTTGGGCTCTTGAAAACTCCCTGTCACTCCTCCTTGGCCAGGCAAGTGGCAAACTTGTACACCTGTCCGGGATTTTGGGGTTTGCGCAACATGGGCTCCCAGTATTTCTATACACGCATATGCAGGTTTTATGCTTGGCTTTGCATGTCACCAGCAGCCCTTTCCAAAATAGAGGCCACCATGGTCCGAAAAGCTTCGGGGGAGGCTGCACACACTGCTAAACCCGACAAAACACTAGCTTTAAACTTTACACAAGGAAAATTCCACGTGTTCGCATGCTTCGCATTTCGGGGCTTTGGTTTCGGGTTTTGGAGGCTCTACGACTCGGAAACCCCCAACGGAGAGGTGGATGCCATGGCTTCAAGTTAAGACTTTTTAGAACCCGACATGGCTGGTATTTATGACTGTCGGCCATGATCTCAACCTGCAAACACAAAAACGGCAGCGATTACACTAGTCAACCCAGCTCTTCGCCCGGAGGCACTGTCGAGATGTCACGATGGTAACAAGATCCAGAACAGCAATTGCGAGCGCTGCAACCCATGGCCCATGTCTATGACAAGGTCGATTTCTAGCACCGACCATGGTCACAAGTCTGCTTCAATTTTCCAGTTCAACATAACATTCTTCGTTCGGTTGTGGCCAGATTTGCGGTGAGAACGTGAACAAATGTCATAGCTCGGCTGCAAAACTCTAACAGCCAACTTCACACGGGTCTTCGAACGCACAAGCCCCAAGCCGTCCCCGGCTAAAGCTGGACTGCAAGCCGCAAATGCCATGAGCGTGAACAAAACATTCGACTGTCATGTCACACTTCTTGGAATGGAATTGCAGGCCCGTGTTCGCTCAGCGAGATGTGCGTGGTCTCCGGTCCACTCCCTCCGGATCGCATGTTCGCCAAAGCTGTGAAGTCTTCGGTCTATTCGAACTTCAACGTGTACCCCAAACTGCCCTGATCCCTAAAGCCTTTGGAGAACCTGTACATGTAATACCAGCCTGAATGCATACCTAGAGTATTCCTCGAGGTTGCTTAGACAGGTTGCATTTCAATTTGCAATATGCACAAAGAGACTCTTTTATGACTACTGAGGTCCCTCGATCAACCCTAGTGAAACCCGTATAGAACCGTGTAACCTCCTCTACAAATGGCCTTGGTTTCAGCATTCGATGGGATCCGGGACCAACAGGGCTGGTACCCTGGTGGTCTTGCCGTGGTTTTGCGGTGGTCTCAATAACAGGAACCAACCGCCGAGTACGTTGATGTGTTGCTCGTGTTTTTTGGTCTTTGCACGCGCTACACCTTTTTCACTCGTAAACGACCAAAATCAACTCAATCAAAACCCCCTCTTCATACTATAAGAAATTTGTGGAAGGTGTGCCTGTGTGCTTAATTGAAACAGGGCAAACGGTACGGGAACGCAAGCCTTTGTTCTCTTTGCTCAACTGCAGCACAGGCACCACTCGATGAACGGAACAAAAGACAAAAGACACCCTTTTGTTAAAAACACAACGTGCGTTCATTGCTTTCGGCTTCATTAAGGACTGCAAGAAGGCCAGGTTGAATTACACTGAACAGCGTAGTGAATGAACGCAGAGAGTGAAAGAAGCTTGCCGAGGATACCCAGTAACCTAAGAATAAAAAGGCCTCTCTTTTTGGTAGTGGGTAACTTTATAAGGAACCTAGGACTACAAAAAGGGAATAAGGGTACTACTGGGCATCCTAGTTGCAACCTCCATCCCAGTCTCCGACACCAACACCCCCACCAACACCCTCCAACCCCAAAGCCTAACCCCCAAACCCTAGGGTCCTAAACCCCAAGCCCCCAAACCGAAAGCTCCGAGTCGGGATAATTTGACCTTAAAATCTAATCCAGGATCCCGCAATAAATTCTGGAAATCTACATCTGGGGCGTCCTGGACCCTAATTCCCAACGTGGGGGCTCTAACATGAAATTCCCTCAAGGAACAACTTCAAACAAAGTTGGAAATTAGTTGTCCTGATGCCCCAACAACGAGCGCAGGTGCGGAACAGGGTATACCGGCCCCTATCATCTTTCTTCAAGCTTTCGATTGTATGGCATTGACATGCATTTACTGTGAGCATTTGAATCCTAAATCTGAAGCCCAAGATATCGAACCCTGAAACCCCATACTCTACATTCAAGGCGCGACACCGCAATATGGAGGGTTTAGGGTTTAGCCGACATATGGCGGGGAGTCGCAAAATTTTGCTTACAGTACATTCGAGAATCAAGGACCATCGTTGAGTAATGTTGCTAATCATAATCATTCATCAATCCTCCAGCGGTAAGGCCGAAACACCCGTTCTGAAACCCACATGTAACCTTTAAAGGTGCCCTTAAAGGTACCCTTAAAAGAAACCCTTCAAGGAACCCTGCTGTAACCCTGGCCCCTTTAAAGGAGGCCTTCCGGGAACCCTTAAACCTGAACCCGCAAAGCGAAAGGACCCCAAAAGCCCCAGAAACCCCTAAACCCCAAACCCCTAAACCCTAAGCCCTAATCCCTGAAGCCTAAAGCCTACCCAGGAAGCCGCGACCTTCTGGAAAATCTCGGCGTCCGAAGGGGTCCACACATGGAAGCCCCTGGGGAGCTGTCGGATGAACCTGGTGTTCAGGATTTAGGGGTTTAGGGTTTAGAGTTTAAGGGTTTAGGGTTTAGTGGTATTTAGGGTTTAGGGTTTAGGGGTTTAGGGCTTGAGGGTTTAGGGGTTTAGGGTTTAGGATTTAAGGTTTAGGGCTTGAGGGTTTAGAGTTTACAGGGGACTCTATTTTAGGGTTTAGGGTGAAAACAAGGTGTCGTGGTGCACCATAATATCAATGTGCCTGGAGGCTAATACTAATAATATGTTCGCTTCAGGGATTGGAGGCTCTGCGGCCTGTCCATCAATGGTCAATAAGCTTTGCTTTGAGGATCGTGCTGCTTAGGACTTTTGCCTGCTACGAACAAGAAAAGCACATCGGCTGCGCTTTACTGTTGCGATCCTGTCGAGTGGAGTTTAAGCCGACCCCTGGGCGTTGCAACGACCGAGTTTAAGGCTGTCTTGGGCGTGATGTCTTGCAGGCTTCGAAAGACCTAGCATCCACCTGAACCTAAAACCTAGATCCTAGCAGTAAACACTGAAACCTAACCCCCAACCCTGAACCCTTAAAGCCTAAACACCAAACCCCAAACCCAAACCCCTAAACCCTATAATGCCCTACACGAGAGTAGCCTATAGATCCCTATCAAGGAACCCCTAATTCAGGACAAAGAGCCTGCCCTTGCCACAAGCACCGCAGCCCATGGAAGCCTCAAAGCCAGAAGTGTCAACTGCTTGTGTCAGGACTAAGCCCGAATATAGGGGCTACCTGGACTATTTAAGGGGTTCCTTGTTATATTTGTAGTATAATGGGCCTCAAAGCCCGCGTCTAATTGCTGGTGGTTTCGTCTGGAATTTACGGCTTCGGAATATTAGGGCTCTGATTAAAATTCTTCGGCGTCGGGCTTCTTCTGAGGTGCAGGGTTGTCGGGTATGGCATGGCTTTGGTGTTGAGTTCTTGATGAGGATCCAGGACAACCACCACAGCTTCAGAGGGGGTTCTTAGAGGCCACTGGAGGCTTGGTTCTTAAGGCGTAGAGTTCAGGTTGTTAGGCCCGTGCGTGCGATGTCGAGCTTCAAATTGTTATGGTGGGCGGGGGCACTATCTTACTCATGCGTGTATGTATATATATATATATATATATTATGTATATATATGTGTATGGAGAGAGAGAGAGAGAGAGAGAGAGAGAGAGAGAGAGAGAGAGAGAGTGAGAGAGAGACTGAGAGAGAGAGAGAGAGTGAGAGAGAGAGACTGAGAGAGAGAGAGAGAGAGTGAGAGAGAGAGACTGAGAGAGAGAGAGAAGAAGAAGAAGAAGAAGAAGAAGAAGAAGAAGATAAAGATAAAGATAAAGATAAAGATAAAGATAAAAACAAAGATAAAGATGAAGAAGAAGAAGAAGAAGGGCAGCTTGCACCGCAGCCGCTTTCGGGCTGTAGAAATCTCCAGGAAGACCCACAATGAGCAGGACAGGGCTTCGGGCAAATTGGTACTTAACATCAGGGCCTGAATAACTAGTGGACTAGAGTGGACCAGAGTGGAATTTTGGGTGATAAATCAAAGTATTTACGACAAGGAACCTAAGGAATAGTGTTGATAAGTATTCGGGTGCGGCCTTTTTGGGAGCCATGTTCCTTTGCATGTCGAAAAGTTTTACGAAACCAAGGTTCAGCGATATAAGCCTCAACAGTGTTGCTGCATCACGGAATCTGTTGCATGCGTCCAACATGTTTGCCATGATCTTTTTGTAGTGATTACCCTGAAAATCATCATCGCCATCATGTTCATTTTCATCATCATCTTCTTCATCATCATCATCACCAATCGTATTGTTATTTATCGTCATCGGCATCATCATATTCTGCTTCATCTTCGTCGTCATCATCATTGTCATCTTAGCCATCGTCTTCACCGTCATCATCGTCATCACCAGATCCTTCAGCCTCATTTTGTGCACAAAAAACATAAATGCTGAAAAAACCATCGTTTGAGCATGCTCACACACGGCATGAATGCTTGCCACAGTGCGTCTTGTTCCATAAACTTAAACGTCAAACATCCTGCTGCAACATGTTGTGTACATATCCGGTAAGTTTCAGCGTTTTGACCATGCTCGGACAAGGCATGAACTATCGTAGCAGTGCGTCTTCGAACATCCTTCTGCACTATGTTGCATAACCTGGACCCCCTCCCCGACCCCATGGAATCATCCGGAATGTCTTGAACATGAAAGAGCCCTACAGTATGTGCCCGCCGCCAACTTCTCATGCCCCTACATTACCCGAAAGGTGGTCGCAGCTTTGCAGGGTTTCGAGCCTGGCCTTTCCTTATACCCAGAGACTCCAATACCCCTTAAGTAAGGAATATTAAATCATAGTAGGGATTCTACTCTAATTTAAGGTATATTCCTTAATTAAGGGATATTGGAGTCTCTGAGTAAAATGACTTTAGGACGCTGAGGTTCAATGGTTCATCTTTAGGGCCTTAGGGGCGTGGTTTTTGTTCCTTATTTTTTTCCGTTTTTTTCTTATTTTTTTTCCGTTTCCCTTGTTTGGCTAGGGGTAGGGGTAGGTAGGGGTAGGGGGCGAGGGGGTAGGGGTAGGGGTAGGGGTGGGGGTAGGGGTAGGGGTAGGGGTGGTAGGGTCATAGTAGCAGTAGAAGTACTAGGGGTAGTAGTAGTACTAGTCGTAGTAGTAGTAGTAGTAGTAGTAGTAGTAGTAGTAGTAGGTGTAGTAGAAGTAGTAGTAGTAGTAGTA